AGGAACAAGAATGCAACTAGGAACAAAGGGCATCGCTACTAGGAGCAAGGACGCTACTAGAGAGTTCGATTCAGATCTTCCACGACTGTTCGATCTTGGGCCGTTTCGAGGGCATTCTGTGCAGAGCCTGGACCGAGGGTTTTTCTGCCTTGCCCCGACCTCTCCAGCATGGTACGACCAAGAGTAGCACTGATTACACTAGACCAGTTTTGGTATGCAAAGAGAGGGTGGTTTTCCACACACACATCTCGGTAAGTCAGCGTGTCTACAGGTCTTTTCCCTTCTGGACAGGTGCTTGGTACGATTTTCACTTCCCTCCTGTGCCACACAGAACTTCATCTTCAAATGCCGGCCGGATTGGTATAAAACCAAGGCGTAACCTATGACACCGACGTCTCACCAACCTTGCCCCACAAAAAAGCTGCGCTCCACGCCGACCGCGCTTGTTGGAGGCAGTCTGACTCCTCCAGTCCTTCGATGGTGCTACTGGAGCCGAAAGCCTTCTTTGTAGGCAGGATCCCTTCAGGGACCAGATGGAAGAAAGGGTGGAGGAGAGAGGACTCTGGTTCAGGAAAGTTGAAATTCGCCGTTAAATTCAACAACAAGCTGAGATGAATAGTGGATGAAATAGATAAATATAGACAATCATAGACATAGGATAAACATAGTAAGCATGTTATGGGTATAGGCAGATTGCTGAATGAGACCGAGGATCATGGATCGGGGGGATTGTCATGGTGATGGAGCGTGACCATTTGGTTTGAAGTTGCGCGCTCTTTTTTGAAGAAGTTCCGAAGGCTACTAACATCTACTAACTTTGTTTTTGCAAGAACTGTACAGATAGTTCTTTAAATCGCAAGATTTGTTTGCATGCAGTTAAGAAAGCACACCGACAACAAGTCAACTCCATGGACACAAACAAGAATAAAAATACACACAAATGACGTAGCACAGAAATGTGTAACAGGAAAAGCACACATCATCCCCAAAAGTTGACATGATTTATGCATTGGATCAAGATCAAATTGGCAAAGCGCCATTGCCATCGTAACAAGAATCGCATGCATAGTTTCTCTCGAGTACAATTGTTGCCGCGTTTTCGGAGTTATTTTTGCTAGTGTTGCTGTTGTGCTACGGTGGCCTTTGAGCCTTGGACCTTTACGGCTTGCTTTCATGGGGGGAATTGCTTGTCACATGTTGTCACTGTATAGTGTTCCATCAGTCGTGTGTTTTGCAATTTTTGCATGAGTCACTTTTGCAATGTGTCTTTATCGCTTTTGGGCGAAATTGCGTTTCTCACATCGTTTTATGGCCGACCATGGCCCGGTGTTCTTGTTAAAGGACTCCTTTGCGACGTTGGCAGGGTTCACTTGGTTCGTTTACGGAAGACATCAGAATCATGTAAGTGGAAATTCTCGTGGCAAGGTTGGGAGTGAAATTTCTCCCCGACTCCATCGGATCCAAACCTCATTAGCAAAAAGGTAGAATCCATGCGAGGACCTGACCACAATACTAGTCCCATCAAATGCCAACATATGCCAACTACCTTTTTTGTTTCCAGGTCTGAGGTGAATTCTGTTGAGATCGAAAGCTGTCAATCTATTTGGAGATCGTCTCATTGATCCTCATCGTAGATCTTCACGGTCCTCAATCCTCGGATAGGTCTGGAGATGTTCAACGACATGGATGCCTTCGCAGGCCAGGGGAGTGGCGTGGGTCTCAGGACGAGGCGAGGTTCGTTTGGAGACACAGTTCCTGAAGGTCCAGGATCAACCTGAGTTCTGTTCCGAAGACCTTTGGAAGTACGTTCATCTCCGCTCGACTCACCGAAAAGGAAGTACAGTATACTGTATACTTCGATCCTGGAACAAAATCACCTCATTGCCGCTCGGGTTTCAAAGAACGGGGAGTGAAGATGTCGTTTTAAGATGTTTTAAGGTCCCCATTTGTGTGAAAAGCAGAGGAGAGGGTCTTAAAGTCTTAAAACCCCATCGCTTCTAGGGTGGAGGCCATCTCTAGTAGGTTGGAGGCCATCGCTACTAGCCCCCTACCCTGAGAATCTGGGCTCTCAATTAGGAAAGGGTTTTCAGGGTCCGGAACCTTTGCCTTGGGAGGGTCCAAGGATTCTTAGGGCACTCACAAATTTTGTCTTCGCATGTGCGTTTTGCCCGATGTTCCATGTTTTGCCGGATGCTCCATCCACAGCAAAACGATAATGAAAAGAATAGAACGATACCCCTGCACATGGCAACCCTTCATATGTTTCATCTCAGGTTTGTCCCCCCCACAAAGACCACGAGGTGTATGTTGTGTGGCAATGTCTTTGGTTGTGATGTTTGTAACAGGCACGAAAACGATAACGCAGCGAGCCTAAATTACCATTACATTACACTTGTACATTGTGCGCAAGTGCCCACACATGTACTAGCTGTGCTCGTCTGGAGTGAACTGCGCCATGGCATCGTTTGAGTTGATTCCACGCAGCACAACCCCATGCATTCCATGAATGTGCACTACAAATAGATCCCCGTTGACAATGGCCTTACGAAATGGGAGACCTCAAGGCCTCTATGTTTTTTTTTAGTGGTATGTATGTTTGTGACCTCATGGACTTGCATTTTGTAGAATCATTTTGTAGAAGAAAATCATCGTCCTGGATGTTGTGGAAGGTCATTTCGTAGTATTTTTTATTTTTGAGGGATAACATATGAAGGTTGTGGAGTTGCATTTTGTAAAGATTATATGTTTGCTTCTCAAGTGCCATTTTGGCTCAAATCTTGGAACCTGCCAAAAAAATGCAGAAACCGCCAAAGGGCTGTCCAAAGTTCTGCGTTACTTGGATGATTTGGTTATCACACGATTGCCAGGATTTGTGTCTTTTTTGAAGGCCGTTCAAGTTGGCTTTCCCGAGGGCATTGCAAATTGCATTGCGTCAGTCGCAGAACCTTTCCTGGATGAAGATCGTGGTGTGTGGCGTTGCTTGGACTTAGTTGGGTGCTTGCTCAATCTCAAATAAGGCTGATCGATCAAATTGTATGTATCTTCATTTTTCGCCGACTGAGTTTCAAGATGCTGCAAGATGGGTCCCAACAACCGCCGTTCTCATCACCATGTCTACTTTTGTCCGAGACTTGTGTCGCAAGCAGGTCATCAATTGAGATTTTGCTTTCCTGTTCTTCAAGCAGCACTGGGGGAGGGTCTGTTTTCAGATAGACCTGAGGAATCTCCAGATGTGGAAGTGGTCTTTAGCGATCAGCAAAGATTGCCCTGATCCCACGAAAACCAGGAAGGGAAAAACTGCAGCTGGGCAGAGATAGTAAGTGTATGTAAATGTGCGAAGCAGCAGATTGAAGTTGGAGAGGTCTGTCCTGCCTGCTGTGACTGCACTGCAGCCATTTTCAGACTTCGTTGAGCAACGTTCTGTTGATCATATTGAGAAAGATGTGTGCAGTGAAAGCCATGGCGCGATGTTGCGCATGGATCTTTTTTTTGGCCGCGTTTCGTGCAGTTGGGGCCGGAGAATCCTTGCCATCCTTGAAGGATGATACGACAAGTGTGACATATGAAGATCAGAAACTAGCCTGAAAAATAGAACATGTTTAAGTATTTTTTAAATCTACAACGCATTGCCAGTAATCAGAAAGAATTCACTTCAGCCTACAAAATGACAGGGACAGTATAGAATAGACGTTGAACCAGCTGTGAACATGGGTCAGTGAATACAGTATCTCATGTGCTTTGGTTCACCTCTCTTTTTGTAGAGCTGTATGTTGCACCCTGCATTTTGTAGTGTCCTGGGTCAAGGTGGTATGCTCCGGAGAAACACATGGATTTTCTGGTCCGTTTGATGAAGCAGTTATCCCAGAGAACTATTCGGCAATACCATGTCCTGGATCTATTTGGTGCTTCTCAGAGAATCTCCAAGACGTGGGAGAATGCTGGATATAATCCAGTATGCTACGACATCAAAGTCCATCCAACACATGACATTTGCTGCGAGCAGGGGTTTGCTCGACTTCTGGGAATGGCCATGCAGTTTCATGTGACAGATGTCAGCGCATTTTTCATGAGTTTCTGTGTGTAAATTCTGGACTCTAGACATGTATATATGTTTTGCTACGCCCTGCTGATGCAAACTCTGTTCTTCCAGATTTTGCAAGGTTGACAGATGAAGCCTTCATCATGGCTGCACCGCCGTGTTCGTTATTCAGTGCTGCGTGTGTCTCTGTCCACAAGAGGTCTGTTGACCAACCAGAAGGAGATTTAACCCGCTACAAAGTCAGACTTGCAAATCGCATTTGGCGATCATTCGCGGCTTGGCCATGGTGCATGGTACATGACCATGAGTGAATCTCTACAAAAAGGGGCTCATTTATTTTTTTAGACATGTTGTTATCAACAAATCTGAGAAATTTATGATACATCAGGTTTTACAAGGGCGCTCAACAGGGAACTCGTGAGAACTCAAAGCAGGTATCTTACGCTCTGCATTTTGTAGAGATGAAACAGTATGTGCTTGATGCTAACATATTGTACAACATATTGTGTAATGATGACTTGCAATTTGTAGTGATCAAAGTTCTCTGAAGGCAACCTTCTTGAAGCTTGTTTGGATGGTTCGCGGCCCTATGCACTTGGTGATAGAGCAACCGTCCAGTAGCTGGGCATTCCGACTGCCTTGTATGGAGGATATCTTTCGCTTGTGCGGATTGTTTCTTTGCTGATTCTAAGAGGTGTGTTTGTTGCAAGATTTGCAAGCGGACTTTGCTCTTTGCATTGGCTGGCTCCTTGGAGGTTTGCGGTGACAACATGGATGAGCTTTTTTGGCCATGATATGTTGAAACCTACGAGGTTGTGGACAAACATGAGGCCCAGGGATTGTGGACTCGAAAGCTTCTGTATGCCTGTTGTCCCGTGGCCCAAAAAGCATGCGGTCCCTTGCAGGAGCACAGAGAGGCTTAGAAGAAAGATGTCACCGGCTGACCGCAAGAAGTTCAAGGAGCTTGGGGTCATGGAGGGTGCCCAGAAAATTTGTGTTTGATTGTCACTGTTTATATACGCTGGTATCTTCTGGTTCTGTTTTGATGTTTACTCATCCGTTTGCAGATCCTTATTCCAGGCACGGTTCAGCGCGCGCCAAAAGAAGAGAGGACGCAAGTTCAGAAAGGATTCTTGGACTTATCAGGCTAGAAGATTGAAATACACGTGTTGCATTTTGTAGAGAACATTCCAAGCCAAGCCATATCATTTTGTAGAGAGTCTCCCTGAAAAATAACAACAGTGATTGTCCAGCGCAGCGTGTTTTCTCTGCCTTGAGGAGTATGTGGTCTGCACTGTGAACAGGGATGGATCGAAAGGTTGGCATGGAGGAAAGGACCTCGCCAGCAGTGCTGCTTTCACCGGCTTTTTTTGCCGAGCTTTGCTTCGCATATGGCTTGCAGCAGTTTCAGAAACGCTGCCAGCTGTCTATGTTCCAGATAGTGATTGTGAAGTTCTGACTGAAGCACCTGATGTTGGAGCTGTTGTGCCAACTATAGATTTGACATGTTAGCCGCTTTCTCCCGGCTGATTGTACATGCTCCAAGCTGCATTCTCTGACTCAAGCTATGCTGTGGTGGTAGTCATTTGATGTCTTGGCGGAACTCAGCGCACCTTACAACTGTACAGTCAGATAGTGTATGTGTGCATATGGCTGAGATGAGTGCCAAACACACCTGATCCTGACCACAGACAATCTCAGACGTTTCCAATGAAAAAGGTCCAGCGTGTCCAGCGTACTATAGACCTTCTGTGTGTGACCCGCATCCTGTAGTGCAGTTCAGCCTAAGATTTGTTTCCCCACAGTTCGAACGCATGAGCCCTCAGGCAAAAAACGAACCTGATCCTTCGCAAGCAAGTATCGTTCCTGTGAAGAAGGAAGAAGGCCTTGTGTTCTGCTCTGCGCGTTCAGATCAGGTCGTCCGCTGTCACGCTGTGTCACTGTGTTGTGGTAGCAGGGATATGAGTGGCTGCAAGCTAGCTCGGTCTGGATTGTATTTCCACAGATCCTTCTGCATCCTTCTGCAATGTTCCAGGTCAGGAGCCGCAGAGCGCAGTCCGTCCGGGAGAAGGTAGCATTTTGCGTCTTCCCTTGGAAGGAGGCGCTCAATCAACCGCAATTCTTTATATTGCAATCCAGCTGAATGCCAACCTGAATTGGAAGTCTATATTTCTACAAAATGCAAGGTCCATGCATTGCAGAGGATTCACTTGATCCTTTTGTGATCTTTTGTGTCTCTTTGCTAGGTGGTGACAAGACGGATTCCGTCGATCGTGGAGGAGAACCGCTTGCTTGGCAATGGGGTGATAGTTGGATAATGTATGATAATGTCATTTTGTAGAGAGTAGGGGGGTGTATATATATATAATATATGTAAAAGTAAATACAATGAAGCCATGTTTTTAAGCGGGCTGACTGCAGTGCAGGAGTGCCAGCTGCAGGAATCGCACCTGAGACTGACTCTTGCTAAGCATTACGCTAGCAACCAGGAATGAACAAATATTTATAGTATATAGATAGTTAATGATAGTTACTTTTTCTCTTATTCGATAATGCTTGTAACACACAGAAACTAAGGAGGTGTCTGAAGCAGAAGCTGGCAAATTGTGCCAGAAGGCCAGATCGCATCCATCCTTCCCCGAGTTCATCCAGTGGCTTG